GACAGTGAAGGGACCTCAGAGCAGTGGGCGCTGACTGGCTTCAGGAGAGTTTGCTCAAGAATTGAGAGGGGGAGGCATGGAAAGAACCCAGGGGTGATGGAGTCAGAGAGGAGATACGGATTTCATTTTTTTAAACAGTATTTTATGGTGTTTTCAGTGATGGTTTACACAGCAGTTTAGGTTCCCAGTTGTACACAAACTGTTCGGTGATGTTGGTTACATTCTTCACAACGCATGAACAGTCTCATGATTTCTGTTCTAGTTGTTCTGTTCCCATTAATCTAGTATCCCTGCCCTCTTACCTTCTCATCTTTGTTTTAAAGTAATTGTTGACCATTTGCTCTCATATATGTGATTTTTTTTAAAGGAGCACAGTACCTACAGGTGATATTCATCATTTTTCGAGCCAATTTGTTATTCAGCTACAAGGGACTTCAGGGATTAGCTTTGGTTCAAGGTTTGAAGAGGATCTCGGGGTAATAGTCTCAGGGAGTCCTCCAGTCTCAAACAGTCCAGTAGGTCTTTTTTTTTTTTCCAACTTTTTTATTTTGAAATCATTTTAGATTTACAGAAGAGCTGTAAAATAGTACACAGAGTTAGACTTCCATTTACCCTTACCCAGCTTCCCCCAATGTTAGTTGCCATCCGGTCAGCTCTGACTCATGGCGACCTTATGTACAACATAACAAAATGCTGCCCGGTCCTGTGCCATCTTCATGATTGCTGGCGTGTTTGAGTCCATTGTTGTGGAGGGTTTCCCTCATTTTCACTGACCCTCTCCTTCACTAACCATGATGTCCTTTCCTCTAATGCTAACATCTTACATAATCATGGTACGTTTATCAAAACTAAGGAATTAATGTCGGTGCAACACTATTGACCAAACTTTGGACTTTATTCAAATTACTCCCGTTTTTCCACTGATGTTCTTCCTCTGTTCCAGGGTCCCACCCAGGATCTCATGTTGCATTTTGCCACCACATCTCCTTTATCTCCTCCGATCTGGGACCGTTTCTCAGTCTTTCCTTATTTGTCATGACCTTGACATTTCTGAAGAGCACGGGTCAGATATTTTGTACAGATTCTTTTGATTTGCAAAAGCCTGTTGGAATGAGTGGCCTGTGATCTGGTGCAGGGGTTGGCAAACTATAGCCTGTGGGGCAAACACTCTGCTTCTTTGGTATGGCCCGCGGGCAAAGAATGGCTTTTATATTTGAGTAGTTGGAAACAATCAAAAGAATAATATTTCACGATACCTGAAAATTATTATGAAATCCAAATCCAATGTCCATAAATCAAGTTTGACTGGACCACATCCACGCTCATTCGTTTGCATGTAGTTAGTTATAGGGCTTTTTCGCTCTGTAACATCAGCCTAGAAGAGCTTGAACCCAGGCCGTATGGCCAGCAGCGCTGGAAATATTTACTCTCCAGCCCTTTATGGAGAATGTTTGCTGGCCACTGAGGCAGAGGGCCTGTGAGGACCTGGCGTTCACTACCATTCGAAAGCTAAGTCAACTATTAAAAGAGCATCGAAGTTTCAAGTTCATTCACTCGATCATTCAACAAATATCTATCAAGGGCCCAAACCAGGAGAGACCTCCTTTTTTAAAATTAATTTTATTTTTGGTGAAAATAATAGGCCCTTATTTGAGCAAATGTTAACTGAGGCTAAGTCCCTGGAATGGGGAGAGGTTTCTTCTCATGAAATGTCTCCCAGCTCTCAGCACAGTTTCTGCCTTCTGCTTATACTAGCTGCTGTCATATTTTAGGAGCTCTGGTGGCACAGTGGTTACAAGCTGGGCTGCTAACCAAAAGGTCAGCAGTTCAAATCCACCAGCCACTCCTTGGAAACCCTATGGGGCAGTTCTACTCTGTCCTGTAGGGTCACTATGAGTCCAAATTGACTTGATGGCAACGGGTTTGGTATTTTTGGTTATATTTTGAGTGGTACACTTTGCCAGCACTGTTTCACTTGTGCTCTCTCTTTTAATCCTCACAACCACACTAGAGGAGTTCCAGGAGGAAACTGAGGCTGAAGAGATTAGCCACAGCCAAGGTCACACAGGTAGCTATCAGACGGCCAAAGGAGAAAAGGAGCCCAGCCAAGTCCATCGGCTTCCAGGGTAGGCACTGTGCTCAGGAGTCCAGGGTGGGGGTCTGGGTCAGGGAGGTGGGGTGGGGGAGGGCTTGGGTCCCTAGAAGAACACCCTTATTCTCCATGTTCCTGAAAACTAGAAGCAAGAAATCTGGATGTATTAGGTCAGCTCATCAGAGGCCCCATCTGGAATCATATTCTTTTTCACAGGGACCTCACAACGTGCTTTCTGGTCTTGAGACTTCTGTCCCTAAGTCCTGACGTACAAGCCTCTTCTTCCTTTCTGTTGTCACTGCATTGCCTTCCGACTGCTGAGCTCTGAGTGGGAAGGCTGCTCCTCCACCTCTTTCTCTGGGCCGGGGCACTGATGCCCTACCTCTCCACCACCCTCCTGAGGCTGACAGGTGTACCTCTGTTGCTCTCTGCCCTTGTCAAACAGCTCAAGGGACCCCAAAACAAAAGCACCTGTGGGACAGGGTCCCCAAGGTGACAAGAGGCCTTGAGAGCTACGTTGGGCTAGGAGGGCAAGTGTCGTTGCCACCGATCCCACTGTCTGTGGCTGTCTTGGTCTTCTTGGATCAATGTCCACAGCCAGGACTCCACTCCCTGTGCTCCGGCTCAGAGAGAAGCAGGAAGTTAGCTCAGGACAGAGAGAGATCTCAGCCTGGGTTTGACAGGGGTCACAGGCCCTGATCAGCCACGGTGGGTCCAAGTCGGTCACTCGTTGGTTCTGTTAAAGACGGTTATTCTAACACATGCCGTAGGCAAGAACATCAGAATGTGCCAGACTTCGTGAATGAAGCCCCAGGTTGGTGTCCAGACTGCATCCAATTCCGAGTCATTTCTTGAGAGAACAAGTCATTTGAGAATTTTCTGTTCCCTAAAGCGTCCCCAGGATCTTTTTAACTGGCTTGGTAATAGAGCTCCTAAACCCCAAGCAGCTGCAAAATTGCTTCATAAAGCTTGTCTTCCTTTTGTCTTTGTGTTTTTTAAAAAGAACAAGATGTAAATGAGGTTACCAAGCCCATGACACACTCCAGTGAGCGCCTGCAGAGCCCTGGCTGGGCTGTCTGGCCGAGGTCACGGTGACACAGACCAGTCTGGAGTAAGTGGTTCTGTTCCCTGTTCCAGAGTGTTCCAAAGACTCTCACCGTGTCAGATTCCGCTTGGACACTGCGGTGGATTAATTACTTTTGTGTGTGGCCTTTCTAGCCATGGTTTTGTAACTCCCACCCAGGTGACTGTGTGACAGAATAATGGTGGCCTACCAAGGGGATTGGTCACTTTTGCCTTAAAAGAGAGCCAATTCCAGAGCAGAGAGGAACCCACCACCACCAAGGAAGGAGAGACCAGCAGCAGAGACTGGGCAGCAGGAGACGGTGCATTGGGCTTCCCAGCCTACGGAGAGAGAAAGCTGAATGCCTTTGGGCCAGACTGAGGGCCAGGGAGAGGCGTGCCTGCGAGAATAGCTAGGGAGAAGCTATCCTGATGGAAGAACTGTATTCTGAATGTTCTTGAGCCTGACTTGTAATTGCTACTTCCCTAATAAACCCCATAATTGTGAGTATGGTCTGTGAGTTCTGTGTGGCCGTTGCAATGAATTATCGAACCCAGTAGAGAGTGCTGTGGGCAGGAGGGTTGGTGTCAGAATGAGTAAAGATGGCAGAGGGAGGAGGCTTGTCTGGCCTCCACCTCAAGGGCGTCAACCTTGTGCTGTTGATCTTGGTTCTCCTTCCCCCTTGTGGGGCTGGAGGAGGTCAGATACCTCCCCCACGCCATTTTTACAGACACCATGCCACGCGAGCACTTTGTGCTCGAACGAGGATGTTGCTGCTATTCCGTTTCTCTTACACGGGTCTCTGCTCCTTAGAAAATAACTCTATCTCCAATGGGAGCGTCTCTGGGGAAGAACCTGGCTTGGGTGGGAGGGTGCACTGGAATGAGCATGTGTGGAGAATAACATTTGGCGCGTTTGCCTGAACGAGACCCCATAACTGATGACAAAATCTAAAATCAGACTATAATTTCCATCTGTTTACACTAAAATGCACTCTATTTTCAAGGCCAAAATACTTGTATGAACCTGGATATAATGTCCCCTAAATGTCCCAAAAGGAGCCCTGGTGGCGCAGTGGTTAACAGCTCAGCTGCTGACGGAAAGGTCGGTGGTTTGAACCCACCAGCCACTCCACGGAAGAAAAGACCTAGCAGTCTGGTCTCATAAAGATTACAGCCTAGGAAACCCTATGGACCAGTTTTTCTTTGTCCTGTAGGTTGCTACGAGTGGGATTCGACTCCACGGCAATGGGTTTTTTTTGTTTTTTAAATGTCCCGAGAGTGGGGCGCTGGCCCGTTTAGGCCTACTGTGTGTTTCTAGGCTCAGTGGAACGTGTAGTGCAGATTGGCGGCGCTGGTCTGTGCGGTGTGTGTGCACGGGTGAGTCCTACCCAGCCGGCGCAGTGTGGTTTCTGGTCCAGGTGCAGTGCAGCCAGGGCCCGTGGGTCCTTTCTGTGTTCTTGTTTGCAGCTGCCACCGGCATTCAGCATGGTCGGCGATGCTCTTCCTAACGGCTGCACACAGGAACTTGCAGGAGCCCAGCACCCCAGCACCCCCTCCCCAGCTAACAACTGGCAGCAGGGACTCACGTTTGGCCATGTTAGGCCAAGCTGTGGGAGCCACTTCCGGGGAAGGGAAGGGAATAGGCCAAATGACCGTCACTTCCTTGAGCTGCACGTGTCACAAGGCTGCTGGCTGAGGCTGTCTCTGTCCCCAGAGACCACGCCACCCGCTGTGTCCTGCTCCAGGCCCTCCTCCAGAGGCACCACCAGACTAGGCCCTGCAGACAGACCAGGGTATCCAGCCACCCTGACATCAGCTGCCAGTGTTTTTCTTGCCTCCACCCACTTTTCTGTTTCAGAAACAGCAGAAAGTCCAACTTTGTGAATTCATTGCTTCCCATTTTAATGCCTACAAATTCTAAAGATTATAGACTAGGGATAGGGAAGTACAGAGAAAGCAGTGACTCTTGGGGAAAAAAAAAAACCAAAACACAAAGTCCTTTGTGCTACAGACATTCCTTACACGTCACTGACCATATGATCTTGTCCGGAATCTTCTGAAATGGTTAAGCCAAGAATTTCAGTCGTGAATACTTCTGCTGTGATTTCGTCTGGGAGTGCTTCTTCAAGGCAAATTTCTGAACCTAGCCAAACAAGAAAAGAAAACCAAATGCCTTCACAATGATTAGCTTTCTAACTCAGACACATTTTCTAAAAACACAAGGAAATATTACTAAAAAAGTGAAAGCTGTTTTGCGCTCTGGTTTGGCTTTGATTCCTTAAACACCCTTGGCTGGAAATTGGTTAAAATCCCTCCTTTACTGAATTGAGACCTGTTAACCAAATCTTCGCAAACTGCACTGGGAAGTTTTAACTGTTGTTGTTGTCAGCTGTCATCGAGTCGGCCCCCGATGCATGGTGACCCCATGCACAAAGGAACAAAATGATGCCCTGTCCTGCACCATCCCCACAATTGGTTGCACACTAGACTATTGTGGTGCATTTGGTTTCCATTCTTTTCAGACATGGATCACCAGGCCTTTCTTCCTCATCTGTCTTAATCTGGAAGCTCTACTGAAACCTGGTCAGCATCATAGCAACACGCAAGCCTCCACTGATGGACAGTGCATTGGCTACGAGCTGAACCTGGGTCTCCCACATGGAAGGTGAGGATTCTACTACTGAACCTCCGTTGCCCTCATCAGCCTTAACTGCACAGTATGATCGATTTTGCTGCCTTGAGATCCTTAAGAACATAAAATCAATGTATAGCAATTGGGAAAGTTACACTCTGAGATCTGAAGGACATAAGGGGATGAGGTAGGGGATCTTGAACCAGTTGCAAGGTTGGAAATGACCCATTAGGTACTGGAGTCTACATCAACTGGACTTTTGGAGCTTTGTTTACGTTGAAATTGGAAAAGGACAATAAAAGGAGAGGGACAAGGCCAACCGGGGAGGAATCTCTGCTCCTTGCTGCACGCTCAGCCCAGGGTTCACTGGGCAGCGCCCCCTGCTGGCCAGTGGAGATACCCCACCACAAGCTGGCCCTTCCTAGCTTCTGTTCAGAACCCTAACTTCTGGCTCATTTTTTCACCCTCCAGTGGACTACGGAAGAAGGTGGGAACGCTCAGGCTCCAGCCAGAAGGGAGAGGAGGAGGATCTTTAAAACTTTTAAAGTTCCGACGTTGGGCTTGCATAGCCCACCACGTTTCCTTACCCAAGTCCCTCTGGACCTAGCTCTTCTGAAACAGCTTCCAGACGGTATCTTCTGCTTATGGCCGATATCCCCCCACCCAGACAGGAAAGATGAAGACTGGGTCAGTGGACAAAAGGGAAAAGCAAGGCCGGAAGACACAAAGGAGGCAGCGAGCCCGGGAACGAAAGCTTTCTTCTCTTCGACGTAACCACTGCTCCCTTGGTACTTCCAGAACTTATTCATGTGCGATTCCCAACAGACTGATTCTGTTGTGCACACGGCATTAAGGAGAGTGTCTCGCACCCGTCAAGAGAAAGCAATGCACTTAAGTCTACAACAAACGAGTGAGTCACGGCGACACGCCCAGACAGAGCAGGCACAGTACCTTTGACAGAGGTGGTTGCAGGCTCGGATTTCCAGCCCTCTGGGTTCATGCCAAACAGCGTGGCCAAGCAATCCAACATCTCCTCCTGTGTCATGTGCTCGCCTGGGTATCAGGAAGAAGGGGTGGCTGAGCACTGGGGGCTCAGTATGAGGTCAGAGTTTAGTAGTATCATTCTAAGGTCTTAGAATTATTTTGCTATTTCCTTTTCTTTAGACACAGAAACAATCTAGAGAGTTCCAGGTTACTGTCGCATAGGTGTCCTTGTCGTTGTTAGCTGCCATCAAGTCACCCCGATTCAGAGTGACACCACGCACAATGGAATTAAACGCTGCACAGTCCTGCACCATCCTCACAATCGGCTGCAAACCAGACTGGTGTGATCTATAGGTGTTCACTGGCTGGCTTCCAGAAGTAGATTACCAGGCCTTTCTTCCTAGTCTGTCTTAGACTGGGAGCTCCACTGAAACCTGTTCAGCATGATAGCAACATGCAAGCTTCTACTGACAGACGGGTGGTAGCTGCATATGAGTTGCATTGGCTGGGAATCGAACCTGGGTCTCCCTCTTGGAAGGCAAGAATTCTACCACTGAACCACCAGGGCCACATATGCATCCTTAAAAAAACCAAACTTGTTGCTGTTGAGTCGATTCCAACTCATAGCGACCCTGTAGGACAGAGTAGAACTGCCCCATAGGGTTTCCAAGAAGCAGCTGGTGGATTCCAACTGCTTCTGGTTAGCAGCTGAGAGCTTCACCACTGTGCCACCAGGGCTCCTATGCATCCTTACATGGTACTAAAAATGGGAAAATTAAACCAAGGAAAATACATGAGACCTGGAGTAATACACTGAAGCTTGTATAAAAAAATAAAGCAAACTGGCTAATAAACACTCAGCTTGACAAAGATGAAAACATCACCCATAGAAGAAATCTACCTACATCCTCATGTGAAATAATGAGAAAAACCTTCGGGAAAAAGACAAAACTCTACTTTAGTGTGGTTTTATCTCACAACTGCGTCCTGATCTTATAATAGCCCTGAGGGATCAATGGGCTGGCATTTTTATTCCCATTTTACAAATGAGGACGCCGAGTCGTGCAGAGTTTCGGTGACGTGGGACCTACGTGGCATTCTTCTGAGTCCTAACTCACCATCCTTCCTGTTGCCCACGGCTGCCAGATTTGTGGTCAGCAAGCCGCATTCCTCATGGCTGAAACCTTGTCAGGTTTCATGACACACAGAGAGGCCCCAGGGAGCCTGTCTCCCCAGCTCCGCTCTCTCCAGTGGGAATGGCCCGATGATGTTGCCAGATATCGGTATTTCTGTATGTACGTACTCACCTTTTGTTAGAAGCAGTCTCAGGAAATCCTCTCGTTGGATAACCGTCTTTCCTTCTGAGTTGGTGTAACCCAGCACCTTGAAGCTGTGCTGGATACCAGTCATGGTGTTACCAAAAGGCGGCCGGTGATTGATGTAAACTTTGAGGAAATCTGGTAAGTTTATTTTATCGACAATCTTTCCAGTGTCCACATACTCTCCAAATTTGATTTCGTTAAACATATCGTTAATCTAGGGAAGAGGTTAAAGAAAAGACCATGGTAAACAGAAAAGACAATGTGATAAACTTCTAAAACTTGGAGAGGAACAGACCAATGTTCACGGTTAGCTTAGTATGTGCCCAGTTTGTCAATACTATTAGAACTAGCATAAACAACGATATCATCTTATCACCTTTCACCTGAGCACTTCACCGTCTATCAACTACTTCATTGAAATTAAACACTTCTGTGCGCCAAGGAGCACCGTCGAGAAAGTGAAAAGACAACCCACAGAATGTGAGAAAATATTTGCAGATAATTTATGTAATAAGGGATCTGTATCCAGGATATATAAAGAACTCTTACAACTCAATAATAAAAAGACAAATAAACCAATTGGAAAATGGGCAAAGCCGTCTGGAGCAAGGGAGAATGAAGAAAACCAAAGACAAAAGAAAGATTAGTCCAAAAGTCTAGTGGACCACAACTACCAGGGCCTCCACCAGACTGAGTCCAGCACAACTAGATGGTGCCCGGCTACCACCACTGACTGCTCTGACAGGGATCACAATAGAGGGTGCTGGACACAGCTGGAGAAAAAGGTAGAACAAATTTCTAACTCACAAAAAACAAACAAACAAACCAGACTTGCTGATCTGACAGAGATCGGAGAAACCCAGAGAGTATGGCCTCCTGACACCCTTTTAAGCTCAGTAATGAAGTCACTCCTGAGGTTCACACCCTTCAGCCATAGATTAGACAGGCCCATAAAACAAAATGCAACTAAATGGGCACACCAGCCCAGAGGCAAGGGTGAGAAGGCAGGAGGAGACAGGAAAGCCGGTAACGGGGAACCCAAGGTAGAGAAGGGGGGAGTGTTGATATGTCGTGGGGTTGGCAACCAATGTCACAAAACAATATGTGTATTGTTTAATGAGAAACTAGTTTGCTCTGTACACTTTCATCTAAAGTAGAATAAAAAAAATTTTTTTAAATGGGCAAAGGATTTGTATATACATTTCTTTAAAGAAGACATACAAATGGCCAGTAAGCACATGAAAAGATGCTCAATATCAGTAGCCATCAGGGAAATGGCAACCAAAGCCACAATGAGATATCACTTCACACTCAGTAGGATGGCTATCATAAAAAAGACAGACAATAACAAGTGTTGACAGGGATGTGGAGAAACTGGAACCCTCATACACTGCTAGTATGAATGTAAAATGGTGCAGCCACTTTGGAAAACAGCTTGGCAGGTCCTCAAAGGGTTAAACATAGTTACCATATGATCCAGCAAGTCTATTCCTAGGTATATATCCAAGAGAAATAAAAACATATGTCCACACAAAAACGCATACACAAATATTAATAGCACCACTATTCATAATGCTATGAAGTAGAAACCACTCACTGTCCATCAGCTGATGAATGGATAAATAAAATATGGTCTATATGAACGATGGAGTGTTATTCAGCCATAAAAAGGAATGAAGTTCCGACACATGCTACAGCATGGATGAACCCTGAAAACCTTACACTACATGAAGGAAGCCAGTCGCAAAAGACCACGTAACGTATGACTCCATTTATATAAAATGTCCAGAAGAGGCAAACTCATAGTCACGGAAAGTAGACTAGTGGTTTCCAAGGGTTGGGGAGAAGCGGCTGGGGGAGATAGGAAGTGACTGCTAATGGATACAGGGTTTCTTTTATCAGATGATGGAAATGTTCTAACTGTTTAAAAATCAGTCCAAAGCTGATTATGGTTATGATCACACAATTCTGAATATACTATAATCCACTGAATTGTACACTTTAAATAATTGTATGTTATGTGCATTATATCCCAATAAATCTGTTTTTTTAAAAAAACCATCGCCCAACTAAATAAGAAAATTACTAACACCTTTGCATCTGTCTATGTGCTCCTTCCCTATGCCAGTCGTCACACTCATGATCTGAATTTTCTATTTATCACCCCTTCACTGTTTTATAATTTTATTGTAGGTATATGTATCCCTAGGCCATATAGTTTATTTTTGTTTTAAAGACACTTAAAAGGAGGTAAATAATTTTAAACCCAGTCACTTGTTGCTCTAGTACTCAAGTTATAGGGCCACCCACACAATTACAGCAGGTGCCATCAAGTCGCTTCTGACTCATAGCAACCCTGTGTACAACAGAACGAAACACCGCCCGGTCCTGCGCCATCCTCACAACTGTTATGCTTGAGCCCATTATTGCAGCCACTGTGTCAATCCATCTCGTTGAGAGTCTTCCTCTCCTTCGCTGACCCTCTACTTTACCAAGCATGATGTCCTTCTCCAGGGACTGGTTCCTCCTAATAACATGTCCAAAGCATGCGAGACGTAGTTTCGCCATCCTTGCTTCTAAGAAGCATTCTGTTGTACTTCTTCCAAGGCAGATTTGTTCGTACTTCAGGCAGTCCATGGTATACTCAATATTCGTCACCAACACCACAATTCAAAGGCATCAATTCTTCTTCATTCTTCCTTATTCATCATCCAGCTTTCACATGCATATGAGGCGAATGAAAACATCATGGCTTGGGTCAGACACACCTTTCTCTTCAAGGTGACATTTGTTCTTTTGAACACTTTTAAGAGGTCTTTTGCAGCAGATTTACCCAATGCAATACTTTGTTTGATTTCTTGACTTCTGCTTCCATGGGTGTTGATTGTGGATCCAAGTAAAATGAAACCCTTGACAACTTCCATCTTTTCTCTGTTTATCATGATGTTGCTTATACTCACTAGTTCGATTAATTTTTATTTCTATTCATTTTCAGACTTTTGTTGCTTACATCCATGCAACTACATGAAGCAAACAGAAAATGTGATGATTTTTGACTCCGTCTAAGTAAGAAGAGAACTGCTGGATGTTGGCTCTCTGATTCCAAGAACGTTAAAATCATCTAAAGCTGAGGTGTATCAGGCCACCTTATATCTGATGGTGTACACCTCATCATCAAATCTGAGCTGTAACCCAGCTACTAAATACCATCATGGTAACGGCCTCCTTCTCACACCCGCAGAAGACCCAGGTGACTGTGCTACAGCCACATCCCCCAGAGAATTGCGGCCATGAGGTTTCTATGTGCTCTTTCTTTGCATCTTTATAAAAATAATAATCTTTAGTTTTTTCCCTCTTGATTTAGAATATAATCCTTTGTGTATTTTTCACATTTTCTAGGATGAGCAGAGACCGTAAAGAGAGTTTGATTACAGGGCAGGCTAACCCAGAAGGCTCCTTGAGGGTTGGTCTGCACAGGTGGCTGACCTGTCCAGGCTCCCATGGAAACTTGGTGGGGCTAACGTGGGGCTCCACGTGGGGCTCCTTGTGTAACTGGCAAAATGCAAGGGAGAGAGAAATACACCGATTAAAAACCAGAAACAAGAAGACACTCTTCATGCCGTGAGCCTGTCCCTGCGCAGTATTCTGCGCCGTGCACTGGCGTCAGCTGAGATTCAGAAACCCGAATTATCCCTGGCAAACACTAGGAATGAGTAATTTATTTTAGCATCTACATTTGAAACTCCTTAATATGTCTCCCAGTAAAGTGTGGGGCTTGGAATATTACAAAGAGAGAAAATAAGAGCCAGAGAAAAGTGAGAAATAATTTGCCTTTTCTTTTTTTTTTTTCCAGAGCATGAACTTTACTTTGGTCTCTGCAAGGAAATCAGAAAGTGAGTCTATACTGGTGCAGTATTTATCAGTAGGTAACCAATTTCTGGATTGGCACAATAGCCGGGAAGGACGGACTTGAACATGCCGTAGACCCTGAGGATGCTGCAGGACGGAGCAGTGTTTCATTCTGTTGTATATCAGGTCACCATGAGTCAGAGCTGACTCTTGACAGCAGCCATCTCTCTGTCTAACCAATTTCTCGCTGTGTAGAACAAAAATATAAAGAGCACCCATTTGAAGCAAAGTATCAGCCTGTCCAGGTGCCCTGATGTCTTGGTCTGATTCCAAGTATTAAGAAGAAAATACAAATCGCTTGCAATCCAGCCACAACTTCAGTGAAAGTTTTGGTTTATCTTCTTTCCATTTTTTCCTAAGCGTATAAAATATATGTGTATATTTCTACAAAATTGGTACCATATGTACATACAGTTTTGTATCCGGCTTTTTTCCTTTAGCACTGTATCACAGCAATCACCCAGTATTTTCAAAGAAGCCACATATTCTGAAGGCAATATTCAAGTCTTTCGATACATGAACTGTAAATGATACTACAGAAGTAGCTTTAAATGGTAACACTGTCCAAATGGTCAGCAGTGACTCTAAAACAAAGGTAACAGGGTAAGGGGATGGGAAGCCAGATTACTGGAAGTGAAACATCCAGAAGGGAATCAATGAGAAAGTTAAAACATAGTGAAAAATGTAACCACTGTCTCTGAATAATTTGTGTAGTAATTGTTAAATGAGAACCTAATTTGCTGTGTAAACTTTCACTGAAAACACTATTTAAAAAAAAATTTAAAACAGTAACACTGTTTCATAAATACCATTTACTGAATTTATATATTATGTACAATCGCAGGTTAATGTATAAATAAACCACTTCTGAGTTGCATGTAATTTATACATTGTAATGTATAATTTTCATAGTATTATTATATACATATGCTACTATTTTTACTCTGAGCCAATAGAAACTGTGGCTAAAAGGATGATCTTTAATGACACACCTAGGTTTGCACGCTGGCTGTGTCATTTTCTAGCTGTGTGACCTTGGGTGAGTTACTTACATTCCTTACCCTCAGTTTCCTCATCTTGAAAATGGGAGTAATATGGTAACATGTATACATTGGACTGGTTTATTTGTTTATTTTATTGTGGTAAAAAATATATATAATTTTGCATTTTAGTCATTTTTAAGTGTGCAATTCCATGGCATTAATTACATTCACAATGGCAATAATTGGGAAAAGGCTGTCAGGAACGGTGGCACAACCTGAACAATGTAACAAATGTTACCGAACTGTCCAGGCAGAAATTACTAAAGTCACTTATGTTTTATTGTTGCATTCACAATGTTGTGCAGCCATCTCCACTATTTCCAAAATTTTTTCATCACTACAAACAGAAACCCTGTACCTATTAAGCAATAACTCCCAATTCCTCCCACTTCCCAGCTCCTGGTAACTTCTAATCTACTTTCTGTCTCCATTCCTTTGCCTATTCTAGATATTTCACGTAAGTGGAATCATCCCATGTCTGTCTCTTTGTGCTTGACTTCACTCAGCATAATGACGAAGTTCACGTATGCTGTAGGTAGCTTGTATCAGAACTTCATTCTTCTTCATGGCTGCATAGTATTCCATTGTGTGGCTAGACCGCATTTTGTGTATCCGTTCATCGGGTGATGGACACGTGGTTTGTTTCCACCTTCTGGCTATTATAAATAATGCTGCAACGAAAATAGGTGTACAAGTATCTGTTCTGAGTCCCTGTTTTCAATTCTTTTGGGACACTGGACAATTTTGAAGCTTATTATGACAATGTATGTAAAGTGCTTACCTATAGTAAGTACTCAAACAAGCAGTAACTATTTTTGTGGTTTTTATAATTTCTATACTCTTGCTAATTATAATACATGTAAGCATAATATAACATAAAACGTTAGTTATATAATTATAACACAAATTATATTTCAATTTATATAATTATAATATAAATTATAAATATACTATTTAACTCAACTCAGAAACGGGAGACAAAACCAGAGACCACAAAGGAAAAGGGTTATTCATACCCAGAGCCTTCCAAAGACCGCGGTGAACGTTCTCAGCACGAACCCCTCCGTGGTGAGTCACCTCCCACTCTACTTTCCCAGATGACGCTTCAAGAGTCACTGCTCCGCCAGCGCTGAGCTGGCAGCTTTAGGCAACACTGACGTTCCTCTTCCGAGCCTACGTGCCTAAACACAGCTCATGCTCGGGAGAGGGGCCTCGGCCACGGACTGGGGCGCTGAGTGACGGGAATGCCACAGAGGGAAGCAGGCTCGGGAGATGGGGTGGCCCAGGCCACCCGCCCCACGCCCCAGTGACCGGCCGGGCTTTTTGTCGCATCCTCACACTGGCCATCACCCGCTGGGCAGCAGTTCATTCCATTCACCGGGGAGCCTTCAAAATTCGGAGGCCCAGGCCCTCTTCCCAGAGATCCTGATTTCGTTGGTTTGGGGTGGGGGTCTGGGCACTCATACTTTTTAAAAGCTCCCCGGGAGATTGGAATGTGCTCTAAGGCAGTGGTTCTCAAGCTCCATTCTGTATCAAAATTACCAGGAAGGCGCCTTCAAACACAGACTGCTGCCCGCCCCCACCGCCAAGTTTCTGATTCAGTGGGTCTGGGGTGGGGACCAAGAATATGCATTTCTAACTAGTCCGCAGGTGATGCTGATGTTGCTGGCCTGGGCACCTACCCCGAGAAGCACTGCTCACAGACCAGAGGGGTTCACAGAGGGCGCCCGTGCCTGAGAAATCAGTACCAGGCGTGTGAGTTGCAGTAGCGTAACGGTGGTGGCGGCTGAGGTGCAAGCTCTAATTCTCTGCGCCACATCTGTGCCCCCGTGAAACTGCACCGACACCTGTCACCGCTGTTTCCTCATCAGCTGAGTACGTGGCCTGGCACATTATACATTATAGGGGCTCAGAGGAGTGTTTACTGAATGAATGAATGGAGTACATAACATGGGCACAACTGAGGCCATGGAAGAACTTCTTCACAACTCACAAAAGGTTGAGGAAAGTGTTTAGAGCAATCACTGCCTTTGGTAATTTAGATCAATTTATTATTATTTACTGAGCATTTCAGGAAGGTTCAAAGACTATAGCCTTTTGTATGGATGATGTCTGAACATGAAGAAAATGAAAATCCTCACAACAGGCCCAATAAACAGTATCATGATAAATGGAGGGAAGACTGAAGTTGTCAATGAGTTCATTTTACTTGGATCCACAATCAACGCCCATGGAAGCAGCCGTCAAGAAATCAAACAACGTACTGCATTTGGGTAAATCTGCTGCAAAAGACCTCTTTAAAGTGTTGAAAAGCCAAGGTGTCATTTTAACGACGAAGGTGTGCCCAACTCAAGCCATGGTTTTTTCAGTCACCTCTATGCATGTAGAAGCTGGATAATGAAAAAGGAAGAACTGATGCATTTGAATTATGGTGTTATTGAAGAGCACTGAATACACCATGGACTGACAGAAGAACGAACAAATCAGTCTTAGAAGAAATACAATCAGAATGCTCCTTAGAAGCAAGGATGGCAAGATTTCGACTCACTTACTTAGGACGCGTCATCAGGAAAGATCAATCGCTAGAAAAGGACATCGTGTTTGGCAAAGCAGAGGGTCAACGAAAACAAGGGAATCCTCAGTGAGATGCTATGACACAATGTCAGAAATGATGAACTCCACCACAGCTGTGATCATGAGGATGGCAAAGTACCGGGCAACGCTTCATCCTCTGGTCATAAGGTCACCAAAAACTGGAGCCAACTCGATGGCAACTAACAGCAACTAAGCATGTGGTTTAGTTCTGTGTCTGTGATGAGA